CATGCCCGAGTTCCGGGCTCCATCCCCAGTTGGGGGAAGGGGCACGCAGGAGGCAGCCTGTGATGTTTCACTCTCACATCAATGTTTCTCTCTCCCTCTTTCTTTCTCTCTAAAATATAAATAAATATATTTTTAAAATAAAGTAATTTAGAATAATCCCTTATTAATGGACATGTAAGGGATTACATGTATGGGTTTCCACTATTATGTAGCATAACATGAATATATTTATCCATGAACCCAATTACACCCTTGGAATAAGTTCTTGAAAGTGGAATTTTGCTGTCTACCACTTCCTTTTGGGCTTAGGTAATTTAGCTATATCTTCACTCAGGACTTCCTGCACATGTGCTGAGCCTCCTACTTTTCATGAAAAGTATGTAGTAAACACACATCCTTATGGAAGAAGCCCTGGTACTGGAGGAACTATTACATTGAAACTGGCCATTCATAACTTAGAAAGCAAAAATCAAGGCTGGCTATGTCTTTTGGTAAGGGAGGGGAATAAACATATGAGTTTTCCCCCAATTGCTTAATTTTCCATTTCCACCGGCAATGCTGCATACCTTTAATCTGTCCACTAAAGGCTGTGTCTTGCCCTAATACTTTTCAAGTAAAATACAAGCAATGAATCAAGGATTAGATGTTGGTTTGGAACTTGCTCTTTCCTGCAGAATTAATTTTTGAGTCATTAATTCAGGTGATTTATGCATTCCCTGGCAGGTAAATCATCTTCATCTTTGATAGTAATCACTTCTAAAGTGCTTGGTAAAGAGACAATGACTCAAATTTATTCCAGATGAGAGATGTGTCATCAACGTAAAGCTGAGATGGATTTTTTTTCTCTTTCTAGAAAATCATGAAGAGGCTCATTAAAAGATATGTTCTGAAAGCCCAGATCGATAAGGAAAGTGATGAAGTGAATGAAGGTGAGCCAGGGTGTGGGCTTGATGCAGAGCCGAGAGAGGGCTGGAGGGAAGGGCCTGGGAAGAGTGAGCTTCAAGAAGAGAATATGGGTTCTCACCAACTGCCGATACCAGTAGGGTCTCAGGCAATAGGCTATGTCTACATAGTTGAGGGCAGATGCCACTAGTTAGATAAGTAAGGGTTGTTTTTATGGGGGGCTTGGAGGGAGGAGAAAGTGGTTAGGAAAGGTGAGGGGCTGTTCCTCCCAAACCCCCAACTACTTGCCACCAGTGTTTTCCTTTAATTTACTCTCAGAGTAAAGTAAATTATAACTTTGCTATAATTTTTTTCTATAATCTTTTCATTACCTGAAATACGTAGCTGACAAAATAGAAACCTGCTCGTTGGGAAGTTATTTCCTTCAGAAGGATTCAACATACAGATGTGCATGGAGTTGGGACTGATTTCACTCAACCCCAGAACTGCTAGTTACTCTGCATTACGTATTGACAGTATACTTGTCACTCTTGTTTTTTCCAAAGGGGAACTGAAGGAAATTAAGCAGGACATCTCAAGTCTCCGCTATGAGCTCCTGGAAGAAAAAACTCAGAATTCAGAAGATCTAGCAGAACTTATTAGAAAACTTGGGGAGAAATTACCATTGGAACCAAAGCAAGAGGAAAGCAAGAGATAATGCAAAGACTCCCCTAAAATCCATATTTATTTGTCCACTTGAGACCATATTATTTTCTGATTTATTTTTTTAAGTGACAATGTGACCACCTTTTAAACAAGAAAATGTTCAAAGATAACTTGGGTCATGCTATCATCTAGGACCCTAACATTTAATATTTTTCATGGGTGAATGTCATCATTCAGGCTAAATAGTGCAGATTACGATGGAAAGTCTGCCAGTCGTTTGGTGCTTGTTTTACAAACTGCTTTCTGGGTGTAACTTGTGATGGTGTGATTGCTGCGTAGTATCTGCCCGGGAATCACCGCAGCTGGCGGGGCATTTCCCCTGATGGTGATTTCAGGCACCTCCTTGCCTGCTCTGCGGATCCCCTGTCATCTAAAGAGAAAACCACCTGTGACCATTTAGAGAATGCTGTTTAACCACCTGTCCTGCTCAGCCCCCACAGAAGATGATTGATAACGTCTGTGCAAAATGGGGTTAAATCTTTCCTAAACGTTTTGATTCATCTCTTTGAAAACATTATATTTACCATGAAAAAGTACTTCCTCCACTGAACCCTGGAAACGTGCCTCAGGTGTGTGCATGTGTGTGTACGCGTGCGTGTCAGGTGCGTGTGTGTGTGTGTGTGTGTGTGTGTGTGTAGGAAATGCTCACTCTATTTTCTTTTGCAGTCAATATAAACCCTCAAAAGCTCTTTACATTATAATTTTTTTGTTGTGACTAAACAGTTCTGGTCATTCAGTCCAGTTATAGCACAATTTGGGGCCATTTCTGAGGGCCTTTGCAGGTGAATTCCCAGATTTGGCATCAAATATAAAGGGGAAAAAAAGTGCTGAAGGAACTTGCAAATGCTTATCTCTTATGGTCGTTATGTTCTACCCTCCTCTCAAAATATATGAAACAGAAGTTTACATTCATGTGCATTCACCAGGAGGTTATGACTGACGGGTGATGTGAGGCAGCAGCTCAAACAAGGAAAAGAGAAATGAAGGGTCATCCGTTCAACTTCCCAAAGGCTGTCAACATTTAGATCAGTGGTTCTCAACCTTCCTAATGCTGTGACCCTTTAATACAGTTCCTCATGTTGTGGTGATCCCCAATGTCATTGTTACAAATTGAACATAATTAAAGCAGAGTGATTAATCACAAAAACAATATGTAATTATATATGTGTTTTCCAATGGTCTTAGGCGACTCCTGTGAAAGGGTCATTCGACTCCCAAAGGGGTCGCAACCCACAGGTTGAGAACCACTGATTTAGATGATGCTGGGCATTAGCTGAAAGTGCAGCTTTAAATTCAATAAAGAAGGGCTTCAAATGCAAAAATGCAACTTCATTTTAAAACTAAAATGTCACAGAAAATCTGTTCAGCCCCAAATTTGACGGAATTTAAATCAAAGGACTTTTATGTAACCAGCAGAAAATATAGCTGAAATTTTGTACTCAGTGATTTTGTATTTGTGGGTATTATTTATTAAGTTATTTACTGACACAGAAAAGGTCTGTTTTCAAATGTTTCGTGACAATATTTGAATCAGAAGTTGCAAAAATCAACCTCATACCAAATGCATTATCAGCTAATTAAAATAATCCAACATCCACAAAGCTTGTGTTGTGCATGCGCCAGATGGGCCTCCATGCTTGAAGTCAGCAGATTTTCCTCAGAGAGCAGTTGGATCAGCACCTCTTCTCATTTCTTTTTCATTGAAAGATGTAAAGAGCACCCCACCCTATTTTAAGAAAGGTTTTAGAGAGCTTAACTGAAGGCACAGTGTCAATGGATCGTCATGAACACAACCGTCCCTCATACGTCTCAAGACCCCTGGTAAATCCTGGATTCACACAGCAGCCAGCTTAACCTTTAGAAATAAAGTGAGTAGGAAGCAGAGATGTAGTTATGCAAACTGCTGTCTTTCTCTCAGATTTCTCCTCTCCAATGTGGTGCTTTCTGGAGGTTTGGCTGCCATGAGGATGGAGCATGCTGCCTGGCACTGACTACCCAGCTGCTTTCTGGCTTGGCCCCTCCTCGGGGCAGACCCACCACCAGTGAACAAAGCAACCCTGTGTTTGTACCTCCATGCCTAGTTTTACTCTCTGCCATTCTCATTAGTCTGAAACTTAGAAAGAACACAAATTTGATAAGATTTTTACTAGGCATCTACACTAATAAAAGGGAAAGATGCAAATTGACCATGCCTTCATGACACCCAGCAGCCAATCAGACGAGAGCATGCAAATTAACCCAACAAAGATGGTGGGTTAATTTGCATATGCAGGCACCGAGTGGCAGGGGGTGGGTGGCAGGCATTCCGCACAGCCCCAGTCGCTCCGGGCCTCTGGGCATTGTGGGAAGGCGGAAAGGCTGCTCAGGCTGGAGAGAAGGTGGTGCCGGCAGCAAGGAGATGGAAGGCCCATTCTTACATGAATCTTCGTGCATCGAGCTACTAGTATGAAATAAATTACAAGAATCTTGTCTGCTTAAAACTTTGCTAGGGATTGAAGGGAATAGAAAATCAGTGTCTAACCCAGCCGTGGACAAACTACGGCCCGCGGGCCAGATCCGGCCCGTTTGAAATGAATAAAACTAAAAAAAAAAGACCGTACCCTTTTATGTAATGATGTTTACTTTGAATTTATATTAGTTCATACAAACACTTCATCCATGCTTTTGTTCCGGCCCTCTGGTCCAGTTTAAGAACCCATTGTGGCCCTCGAGTCAAAAAGTTTGCCCACCCCTGGTCTAACCTGAATGAGCTCGCCACCAATAAAGAAATGGGAGTTAATACAACTGCAAGAAATGTTTACTGAGCAGCTACCTTGGCCCTTGCACTGTGGTAAATGCTTTCCCTACAGTATTTAATCTAACTCAATGCCTACAACAACCGGATGAGGTAAATTCTGTTTACCTCCATAAATGGACAAAACTGAGGTTTTTAGAGGTTAAGTAACTCACACCAAGAGTGTCAGTGCAGGAACAAAAAACCCAGGCCTACCTTGCAGCAGACCCCTCACACTTCCCTGGGGTCTTGGCTGGCTATAATGGAGTGTGGTTGTCTCATTGTGACACTTACATTTTAATCCCTGGGTGAGGACACACGGGCTGTTCCTGAAAACCCTAAGTTCCATTACATACCCAGTCCAGAGACAGGCAAAAACATTAATCAAGCCTTTGGGTAAAGAGAAGATTTGGCTTCAAAAGGATTGTAGTTATTTTAAAAAAGCATGAAAATGAAGATGTATAGTGAGTGGGTGGAGATAGTGTGAGCCAGGCCAAGAGTTAGGCCTGAGTGGGATACTAGGAAGCTTTTCAGAGAGATAGAGAGAGTGTGTGTGTTCAATGACTCATTGAGGAGAACAGATTGACTATGTGGGAAGTCTATCCCACCCATCCAAGCTTATTACAGTAGGAAAGAATCTTATCACCATCTAAATAGTAAAAGCAAACCATCCATCCATTAAGATGCAGGGTCGATATGATAGTATTTGCCAACCACATAGGCTGACAGGGGAGCTTCAGGTCATGGAAGAGATGTACCACCATGTGCCACATTCGAAGGATGGTCCCCATCTGTTCTGACTCTGACAGGCAGACACAGCTTCCTCCTTTACTCTGAAACCTTCCTGAGTCAATTTCCAGGGGGGGGGGGCGGGGGTGGGTGTTATGAGAGTAATACAGGCTGTCCCTGCCACTCTGTTGAATGGTGCTTGATATGGATTCCGACGCAGTCTCTACCCTTTGATGTAGAGTGTGCAGACTGAATCGCTGGAGGAGCAGAAAAGTATATGCATTTACTAGGCATATCAAATGAATTATGTGTTATACTCAGGAAACATCCAATTAGATTTCCCAGTGAGCAGACTCAACAAAGGTTGGGTAAGAGTGGAGCCCAGCATTCTACTGTGGATGGAAGTTGAAAATTCAGTTAAACATCTGTTATCATATAAAACGTTGACTCATAATCTGAGTCCTTACTGTTGTATGTGACTGGTTGAGGTGAGAGATATACCATGAATTCCCTGAAAGACCAGGCAAATGTTATTTTTTTCCTTGAGTCATTAGAATGACTGCTTGAATTTTCTTCTTTATTCTGTATTTACAGCAATAGCCATAAAAGTTTCTGAAGACACTTTTTAAAACATTTTCCCAGATGAATTTGATGATAACACCTATTCACAAGCCACAAAAAGCTTTCATTTGGAATCAGTTTTTGCAGGGATGTTTATACAACTGAGTAAATAGCTAGAGAAACTGACCAGCTATGGGATAGTTTTATTCTCATATTAGTATCATTTTATGGATAATCAATTTATGCAGTGTAAGTGGATTATAGGGATATTGATTCATGGTTTTCAAACTTCATGAAAATGATGTATCTAGTTGCCACGTTATTCAATGGTAAGGGGAATTACACCTACTCAAGAGGTCATATATTCATAATAGTCCTAGTATTACCCAAGTATAATGTTATCTAGGGCATTGCTGTAAAAATCAGAGAAAAAGTGGTATGTATAGACTCTAAGAATTTCTCCTTTCTTCTGTTTCCAGTATCCATGCTATAAGCACAGGCTTTTCCCACTGATGAACTGTCAGAACAGCGCGTGATGGGTGGATAGACAGGCATGTCCTCTAGCACAGGCTCAGGACAGCGTGAATTTTGCTTTCCTGAATCATTAGAGAAAACCTTGGTGATGACATTCAGGAAGTGAGTCTTGAGCTTCACTGCCCTGCATTTTGTCCTGATCATTGTCCATGGAAATAGACTTTCATGTCACCATAAGAGCAATCTCAGACCAAAGTCAGTTCAGGTATCATCATGTCTCAGACTGAAAGAGCGATGGGTAGTGCTGTACTTTTGCGTTAACCTTTTCAGAATGCTGTGATTCAGCCATCTGACATTTACCCTTCACTCTCTTTCAGAAAATGGACTATCCCTGAGAATAATTGGAAAAGGTCAAATTTTAGTGTTGCCTTATATTTCAAAAAATGTTAATGTCATATTGCTGCTACTATCTGTTGACATGTAAAATAATATATACACAAATATATGCATATATAGTTTGCCAGGATGTAGAATATATAATATATGCATTATATATATATATATATATATATATATATATATATATGCAAAGATATTCTTCAAAACTTTGTTATAATCCCAGAGGAAAACATTATGCTGCAAATATATATTTTTTGTTTCTTTTTTCACTTGTCCTTTCTTTTTTTCTTTTTTAATTTTAATGATTTCAACTTCTTTCTAGTCTCTATATAGTATCTACCTCTTCTGCCGAGTTCTTTAAAGCCTAGCAGTCTAGAATCTGGAGCCAGAACATGTGGGCTTGAATCCCAGCTCTAGCAATTATCAGCTGCACAATCTTCACTCAGTTTCTTAACCTTTCTGTGCCTTGTTATTCTACAGGTAGAAAACCAGTGTCATCTCCCATTTAGAGTTTTTGTGAGGATAAAATGAGTTAATACACCCTAGGGTCAGAAAATAGTGCTCAGTATATGTCAGCATCCAACTAATGTTAGCAATTGTAGAGGAAGAATGTGACTCTCAAATTCCCTTTTCCGCTCTGCCTTAAACCTCATAAAATCTAATGAAATTTGGGTTTCAACTCGTGTTTCTCTGGTTAATTGATACATGGTGTTTGGAACACTGTTTTTTTAAGAAGGATTCCAGGGTCCTCACAGGATCAGTGGGATAGAATGACATTGAGACAATTAACAATGCTTGCCACAGACATGGAAAGTTGCTTCTTAGGCCATATATTTGCCATCACCCTTAAAGAAAATGAATCATCTTTGAACACTATTTGGGAAAATTTTAAGACATTTATTACTTTTGATTGTAATATTTTTGTATCATTTTATAATAGTATCATAACCCCACTCATAAAATTTGTATTTAATACCTATTGTAGTTATTTCAATGTGCTGGGTAATGCCAGTAGCAGTACTAGAAACAGGATACAAGTAGTCAATTTATAAGCCACAGACTTAATTCATACAAGCTGGGTCCATCAGGCCTATTTTCATTTAGTCACCCCAGATAGCTATACAATGCTTGAGAAGAGATTCTTCAACATCCACAAGAGGGAAAG